TTTCACAGTGTCTTGAGGTCCTCCCCAAAGGCTACCAGCGCTTCCGTTTATTCTATGAGCTTGGGGGCTGTAAACTGTCTCAAGTCTGGAAATTTATTGAGGAGGGGTGACTCTCTCTCTCTCTTTATGATTTAAGTTTTAGGGTTTTGCTCACTTGACCTAGAATTCTTCTGCTTGTATAGACACCGTGAGCATTTAGTAGACCTCACATCTATCATATGGCTGAGAACACCATTATGAACTCTCCAATGCCATAGGTCTCTTTGAGTCACATTATTCTTTTTTTTAATTTTTAAAACTTACTAACTTTAGAGAGAGAAGAAGGGGGGGGAGAGAGAGAGAGAGATCAATTTGTTGCTCCTCTTATTTATGCATTCATTGGTTGATTCTTGTATGTGTCCTGACCAGAGATCAACCCTACAACCTTGGCTCATCAAGACAATGCTCCAATCAACTGAAATACCCAGCAGCCTGGAGATCATATTATTCTTGGTTTGGTTTTTTTTTTTTCTTTCAAACAATACATGAAAGTTCATTTAAAAGTCACAGAGGTAGAAGAAGTGAGTGGTAGAAAAAAAAAATGGGTACAGGAAACAAGTTAAAAGAGGCAAAAGAAGAGCACTTGGAGATTAGAAGAAAGAAAGGTAAAGGTGCACCTGAGGTAGGGGAGACAAGGAGGAGGGGAAAGGCGGGCGTGCTTCTAGGAGGGAGAGCCAGCTGAGTCAGATTCTTTTTCTTCTCTTTTTAAATTTAAATACAGCTTTATTTATTTATTACCCTTCAAGGTCATCAGAAGAAGCAAATAGAAACTGAAGCTTTAACTAAATGGAAAGAAAAAAAATTGCTCGAAGATTGAAACTGAATTGAAATTGACATTTCTGGTCACCAGGCAAGTTCTTAAGGGAAAGGGAAAAAATGTTTCCCATCCCGTCCTCTGATATAAATGTTAGCAAGCTTTGGATTATTCACTTGCGAATTTTTTTCTACAAATATTAACATTTTTATTTTATTTTATTTTGTCAGCTATTGTTATTTATTAACTTAAAGGACCCCAAATACATAGCTAATTGAATTTCTGTACATTGTGATTCTCAGTACCACATTTCTCTTTCTCTTTTCTTAAATGTTTTATTGTTATTCTATTAGACTTGTCCTAATTTTTCCCCCTTTGCCCTCCTCCGCCCAGCCCACCCCCTCTCCCACAGTCAGTCCCCAGACAGCATGGATGGAACTGAAGATTATTAAGCTAAGTGAAATAAGCCAGGTGGCAAAGGACAAACACCATATGATCTCAGTCATAGGTGGAATCTAATGAACAACATAAACTGGTAAAATAGAGTCAGAGGCATGTAAACATGGAACAGGCTGCCAGTTGCCAGAGGGGAGGGGGAAGGGGGACAATGGTGGAAAGGAGGGGAAGGGCCTAGTCAAAAAACATGTATGAATGACCCGTGGGCATGGACAACAGTGAGTCAGGTTATTCGTATTGCTGGCGCCCACAACAACCGCAGCCACCTTACCTTTGAGGATGGAGTGTTGTCACTTAGCCACCGCAACCCCCCCGTTGTCTTTAACTGCCCCGATCCACTAGTCCCGGCCCCCCTGTACTTTCTGACTTACAGAAGAAGAACAATTACAGAGCTACCTTCGAGGAGGCTGGGGCGCCTCTGGTAGATTTATTTCTGAGAGTCACATCGAAAGTTGTGTCCTCTAGATCTCGCCAGGTTGTCAGCATATCTTAAATGACAAATTCACTCTATCATTCCTGTCTTCCTAAACCTTTGACTGCCTTCCTCTCTGATATACCAAAGCGGGTCTGCATTTCAACTTGGTTTAGTGTTGGTCACCTTTTTCTCCATGGGGCAGCTAACCAACCAAACATACTGTTGGAGCTCTTCCTAACCCACAAGCTGCAGCCAGTACTTTGGATTCAGACTCACTGCTGAGCCTATGATCATTAACAGGTAAAGGAGAAACATAGTGTTTCCCAGAGAAGAAAAGGCTAAATGAGTTTATTACATGCACACCAGTATTACAAGAAATGTTAAAAGGTCTTCCTTAAGAAGACAGACTTTTAAAAAAAAAAGGAACATAGATATAAAGAATAAAATAACAATAAATATGTACCTATCAATAATTATTTTAAAGATAAATGGCTTAAATGCGCCAATCAGAAGACATAGGATAGAGGGATGGTTTTAAAAAAAAAAAACCCAAGATGTATATATACGAGGCCTGTCCAGAAAGTATCCAGCCATGTACTAAGAAAAATGGACATTTATTGAAGAACACACAAGAAACATTGTCCATAGGACAATGACATCTCTGTCTCCTTCCAAATAGGCACCGTGGGACCTCACACAGTTCTCCCAGTCGCCATCAGCTGCCCTGATATATTTTTCCTGAATTAAATTGACAGTCTAAAATCTCTTCCCTTTCAAAGGTGATTTTAGTTTGGGGAAAAGCCAGAAGTCACAGGGCGCCCAATCTGGGCTGTAGGGGGGCTGAGTCCCCTGGCTGATTTGATGTTTTGCCAAAAAACTGCATAAGACATGATGCAGGAGCAGGAGCATCGTCGTGATGAAGCTGCCAAACACCAGTTGCCCACAGCTGCGGCCTTCTGAATCCTCTCAATAGTTTCCATAGAGAAATGTTCAAGCTTCATGCAAAATTGGATGCAGATTCGTTGCTCTCCTCACTCAGCCATTTTGAATGTGACGGCCACACAGTCCACACGCTCACTCAACGGCATCTACCGCCCCTACTGACGAGGACAGTGAAGTTGTCATTGTTCACGCACGCACGTTCCAGTCCGCTCTCCTTGACTGTCAGGTGACATCGATGCCACACAAACCATTCTCATTATAATAACAATGGCTGCACTTTTTCTGGACAGACTTTATATCCCGTCTATAAGAGTCCCTTTGCAGAAAGACAGAGTTTCTAACTCTCTTCTGCCCTAGAATTACCTAACTTTTCTGATTTACTTTCCTTAATACTTAATGTCATCTGGGCTGCTTCATCTACAGATGTGGGTTAAACAAATATATGACTTTAATGAGTTAATACAGACCCCACACTGTGTCTCCTTATATCACCCTAGGAACTCAAAACCCAACGCATGAGAGAGATATCCCGTTGATTCCTTTCCCCTCACAAGGGGTGGATGATCTGAAAGTAGTTCAACCCTGAGATTATTTGACAAAAATCCCACCCTTCGGTGTCTGTCCTAGAAATATCTGTAGGACCAGGCTCTTTCCCTGTCTCCCTGTGGACCCTATAGGGCCCTATTGGCAGTAGCTTTTCTTACTGTTTGGGCTTCTTGCTCAGGGACCCCCTTGTTTTGCTAATTCCTGAATAGGTAATAAAACTTTGGTTTACTTGCGATCAGTAGCTCCTTTGGCATCTGCTACACTTTAAGAGTAGGTAATAGCAGATTCACTGCTTGGGATGGGATATGTATTGGAGTTACTTGGAAAGAACAGCCCTTACTGAAGGAGTTTGGCATGATACCCATTTAAGAAATGTGAATTATATATTTCTTCCCAGAGAATGGTTGTAGCATGGGAATAATACAAGCTGAAAATATGAAACTATATATTTTTATTTATTTTTAAGTATTTTCTTTTTTTTAATGTTCAATTCTAGTTGTCCCACTTTTCCCCCCGTTGCTCTCCCCTGCTCCACCCACCCCCTCCCACATTCAGTCCCCACCCTATTGTCTGTGGGAACTATCTTTTTGAAATTGAATTTACTATTTTTTTTCTTTCACACGTGTGGTAAATGTTTTCTTCTTCTCATTTAGACAGGAGTTCACCCATCCGTTGCTCTGGTCTAAGGTGTACTGTTTAAGTTACCGTGTATGAAATTCTAGTAACAGGGAGTTTGAATGCAGCCTACCAAAGAAATAGAGTTCAAGACACAACTTTTTTAGTTCCTTTTCCATTAGTGCCATGTGTTAGGAGTAGTGTTTGTTGAATGCCATACATTAGCCTTGCCTTTCTATTAGATTATAACTCTAAGTTATCAAATATTTCATCTCTTTAAATTTGTTTAATATAATGAATTTCCATATAAAATACTAAAATTTTCTCTTTTATAGAGAACAGTAATTTTTACTTCAAACTGTTAGTATGAAATCTGAAACCTTTCTGTTAGCAAAAGTGATGTATTTAACAGTTTTGAAAATCAAATTTTACAGATGCTATTACTATTATTTTTTTGATCTACTTTTCTTACCTTTGGTCAACAGTTCGGATTTAGTATAAGAGAGTAACAATAAAAAAGGAAAAAAATTTCTCTTTTTAAGAACATTTACATATTGTACTCTCTGTTCTTATTCCTTTACTCTAATCTCTTTCCTGAAAAATCTGCCTAATTTGTATATTTATCAATGTATATTTACATTTCTTGTCATTTCCTTTTGGCATTTTCTATTTTATACTGTAATATTTCATGAAGCTATTCATGAAATAAGCTGGTATTTGTAGCTATTGGGATCTTTCATAATTGTATCTTCTGTTCATCTTTTACTACATAAGAATTTTAAAATCCAAGGTACATTTCCTTCTGGAATTGCCAAGTAATTGCCAAGCCACATCCAAACACCATAATTCTGGGATGTAAATGCTATTGTCATTTTACACTGTTTACAGTATAGAAAACTTTAAAGGTAAGAACATTTAAATTATTGTTTGGTGTGTAATTTAGCCTTACTCCCACTACATCTTTGAAAATATTACTCTTTAATTATTTTCCCTTCTTTTTAATTTTCCTGTTCTTATATTCTGTGCTTATTTTAAAACATTACATTATTCAACACAAATAATGACACTTGAAACGCGCTTGGTGAGGTTGAAATGCATCTATTTAGTTGTAATTTTTATTAGCATCATTCTCTCCATTGCTGATGCCTTTCGTTGTTTGAAACGTTCATTTCTGCAAGCGGGACTCGTATCTCACACACTCTGAGCGCTGTTAGCGACTTTCGGGGCAGTGTGTCAAGCTTGGTGGGATTGCAGATTAAGGATGGCTTCATCAATCTCGGCACGGAGAGACTCGGGGTATTTGAGCATATGAAGAATTTCAGCATCATCCATCTCCAACAGTATGCCAGAGATTTCTCCAGTTAGAGCTGGGTGAACGCATTGAACCAGAGGAAATAGCTTTTCACCCAAGAGCTTCTTCTGAGTAATAGCTGATGCCAACACATATATATTTGACAAATGACCTTGCGTATGAACAGGGGCAGGCTTCGGGATGGATTCGGGCCTTCCTGCCGGAAATTGCAGAGGGACGCCAACACAGGTAACACCTGAAACGTTTTCGAACTTTTGATTTGCGTGAGGTCCTGCGGCAGAAGGTCGGGGGTGAAGGGCCACGGTCTTAGCGGATGCACTGGTCGTCTGAGAGGCTGACTTGGCTTTGGGAGCCTTGGGTGACCTGAAGGCGCTGGATGGTGGCCGAGGGTCTGTTGCCGATGCGTGCTTAGCATAATGTGTATTCTGAGATGGATGAGGTTTGGCCCTGACCGCCCGCTTGCGAGGATGTGCACCTCCACATTGAGGCCGAGGAACAATCGGCGGGAAGTCAGCTGATGTTGCTGCCTTGTGGGCGTTGAGTCCGGTGTCACCTCCGCCTCTCACAGCCATTCTGTCCATATAGTCCTTGGCGAGGAGGGCCTGGCGCTCCTTCTTGCTTTGTGCGATAGCCACATACAGCGGTTTGGTCACTACAATCTTGCCGTTCATTTCCTTGATGGCTTTAGCAGCTTCTTCCGGAGACGTGTAGCAAACGAAGCCAAAGCCTCTGCTGCGGCCGGCGTCCATCATGACCCTGGCGCTAGACACTGTCCCAAAGCGAGAGAATTCTCGTCTCAGTCGTCCCTCATCAAAACCGTCTTCCAGATTTTTCACGTAAAGATTAGCACCCTTGCACCAGGCGAGTTCGCCCTGTTTTATTGGCTCGGGATGGCATTTGCCTTCCGACTGTGTCTCCGCTCTGTTCCCGGCCACACCGACGCAAAGTCGATTTCCATTCAGGAATTGCCCGTGCATGTCTTTGACGGCTCTCCGAGCCGCCTCCGAATCCTCAAAGGTCACAAACCCAAAGCCTTTGGATGTGCCTGTGTCATCAGTCACAACTCTCACAGTTAATACAGTGCCAAACTTACCAAAAACCTCTTTAAGACATTCGTCATCTACAGCGTCACCCAAATTCTTGATGTAAAGATCAGTAAACCTGTTCGCTTGAGCTCTGAGTTCTGCTTCCTTTTCATTTCGAGGTTTCAACTGCCCAATAAACACTCGGGTACCTTTCAGCCAAGTCCCGTCCATCTTAGCAATGGCTCTTCTGGCAGCTTCCGATTTCTCAAAATGCACAAATCCAAAAGCCCTCGGTCCATTTTCATCCGTTAGTACTTTACAAGAAAGAATTTTTCCAAACACAGAAAATGTATCATAAAGGGACTTACTGTCAATAGATTTGGCCAGATTTTTGATGAATATATTCCCCACACCACTGTTACGAAGTGATGGGTCCTGCCGGGTCCGCATAATACGCATCGCCTTGCCATTGATAACAACCAAATTCAGCGCGTCCATGGCTCGCTCAGTATCCCCCACCAGCAAGTACTTCACATACGCGCAGCCCAGGGAGCGGTGGGTGACCAGGTCCCTGCAGACGCGAATGTACAGCACAGGCCCGATGGCGCTGAATTTCTCATACAGCATCGCCTCGGTCACTTCGGGGTGCAGGTCTCCTACGAAGAGCGAGGACATGTCGAAGCAGGGAACTCGAGCACCCATCTTAACTCAGATGTGGAGCAAGATTCTAGAGTGACTTCTCGAGCACCCGCCCTGGGCCTCTCTCGGAGGGAGACAGTCAATCAGAGGACTAAATGGAGGCCGGGAGTGGTCTGCGTGGCTGCCACGAGACAGACACTGAGACAGTGGCCAGCGGGATGCACGGAGTCAGAAACACCGCCTAGAGCTACAGACGGGGCGGGGCAAATTGTGACGCAGTGCGTGCCTGTTTGATGTCACGTGGTGCACAGATGCGGGGCGCCCTTTGATGATGAGGCTGGTCACGTGCTCCAAGCAGGCGCGCCCTTGTTTGGATGCCTTGGGCACCCAGGGCCCCACGCGGACCATTACCAGGCCTGTTTGAAGGCAGGGGAAAGGAAGTGCTTCAAAGATTTTCTTTATTTTCCTGACTTGCTTATTTTTTCTAATCCCTAACTCCCCCTTCCCCTCCTCGGCTTCTTCCCTTCCTTCTCCCTCCTTTCCGGTTCTCCTCTTTCCCTTTTGAGGGGCGTATCTTAGAGGGAGGGGCAATGTTTACAAAATTCTCAGTGTGGACTCACTGTTCTAACAACTTGGAGGTGCTTACATTTTAATGTTTTTCAAAAAAATATTTTAAAATCTGTGTGTTTAACCGTAATCTAGTGAAATACGAAGTTTCATAATTTTCTGTGACCGCATCAAATTTCTTTAGCCATGGTATCTTTGGTATTAAAATTATACTTTGGAATAAATTCCAGCAGCTTAAACATGAAGTTTGCTTCACAGCTGAGTTAGGATTATATTCACGGCTAATAAACATTTTTAAGAATTGGCCCTGGCTGGTGCGACTCAGTGGATTGAGCACCGGCCTGTGAACCAAAGGGTCGCTGGTTCGATTCCCAGTCAGGGCACAGGCCTGGGTTGCAGGCCAGGTCCCCAGCAGGGGGCGCGCGAGAGGCAGCCACACATGGATGTGTCTCTCCCTCATTTTCTTCCTCCCTTCCCCTCTCTAAAAATTAAATAAATAAGATCTTTAAAATTTTTTCTTAAGAATTGAAATATCAGAAAATAAAAAAGACTTGAAATATCAGTAGGAAAATGTCACGTTTAGAGAAAAATGAAAGAACATCCTATTATTGGTCTCTCTAAATTGACTGATGGAAATTTACAGACTCACTGTTACTTTTCTCCATATAAAAATGGTACAAGAGAATTAAGTGACATGAGTAAAATTCCCCAAACTACTCACCACAGGTGTCAATGGCAAAGGGACCTTGGACCCCAGGTTAGGAAATCAACAATAATCCCCCAATTCCATAATAATCCCCTAAACCATACAAAAGAATTATGTTCTCTTCTAGTGCTTCGGAAAATAATCTCCATGTGACAAAACAGATATTTTTCCCTCACTATACAGTTCTTCCTGCATTTTATTTTGTTGTATCCTAAAAGGTTTATGTAAGAGAATACTTGCAAATTGTCTGTAGGGAAGAACAATAAAATAAAACGAAAATGCATTGAGTGACTTGATCCATGCTCGTTTTTCGTTCCACATTGCCGTCCTGTAACCGTGAAACCAAGGCTCCCTATGCCTTTGATTAAATCGAGTTTTAAATCCTAGCTCTAGAGATTATATTTTCCTCTCTCTCTATATATAATCCTCAGAGACCTGGCTTTTCTCCCCGATAATCAGCAATCCTTGAGACAGCCGGGGACAGCAGCTGAGACCTGACTAATAGTCACAAGCTCTGGACCTCTGCCAGGCTAAAGGTGATGTCTTGAGCTGAGTTGTTTTAGCCTCTGAGCACCATCAGGCGCAACGACCTCCTGGTTACTTTTCATGAGACCAGAGGAACGGAGGAAAAGACCTCAGCACTGTTCTCAGGAACCAAAGGAATAACCTATCAGCCTTACCTCACCTCCAAAGAGTCTGCTCCCAGCGCCACCCCGGACGCCGTCACCCATGGTGTCTCGTGACTTGCCCTATGTAATCTGCAACCTACATGCCTTCAGGAGTTGGATCTTCAGATTGTAAGCATCTTGCCTCCATATTGGCCAACTCAACATTAAGCTATTTTTTTCTCTGTACACAGCAAACTCCTGCTTGTGCATTTCTGGGCGCTAATGTCTGCGGGCTCAGTGACTCAATGAACAAACGTTGAGGGCAGGGAACAAAAGTTTTGCTTTTCTCTATATACGACCTATTGCTACCGATTTCAAATTATTTCAGCCTCTGCAGACTCGAAACAATACACATACTGCAAGAAATCTCAGGTTCTAAGCTAATGTAGCAGTTTCTAACCTTACCAATATACTTGGCGCCCTCTAAAGCTCTGGAACTGTTTTCAAATGTATCTATTTTACACAGCGAGCAGATTACTCACACTTAAATTCTAGGACATTTATTAACAACAGCTCTGATCAATGGTACCACTTCTGGGCTTTGAAAGACTTTTTCAAACCCCAAACCCAATAAATGCATGTGGCAAGGTGCTCTTACCTTTTGCATTTAGGTCAAACATGTTCAGAGACTTTGCATATGTTAATATTCGATTTACCTCTTTTGCCTTTTAAAATGACATTTTCTAAAACGAAACATTTAAAAAACCTACTTCATAATGTTTCACAATAAGCTCTCATTCTTGGTCATTTTCTATGTCAAGATAGTACCCTAATTTATAGTTTATCCTGTAATTATCCATGAAACTGTATTATCAATAAGATCTAACAGCATAAGGAAGAAGAAATTCTCATCTAGCAGGATTATTTCCATTTTCATTAAAAGTTCTCTAAATGTTGGTGGAGGCAGCTAGGTATTAATAAAGGAAGGAAGCAAAGGAAATCAGATGTTATAACCATAACATAATCAACCAGGGAGCATGAGCCTGCCTGCTTCACCAGGAAGTTCAGCGTCACACACTCCCCAGGGAGCCAAGTATCTGTCCTTTGCAGATCATGGAGGGAAGGGATAGACCAGTAAAGGCGAGGTGAGCACATGCGCAGTAGGAGCCAAGATGGCGACCATACAGGCCTGTCAGTCTACCCTGGAAAAAAAGGATCGATTGGATAAAAGAGGTAACCCTGGAAGATCTAAGTAACATATTCGTTAGGGGGTGGACCCATCACAAACCTATAAAAGCTTGAGAAATGATTGGTTATTTTGAAAAAGCGCTTGGCCTGTCCCAAATGTAAGATAATATAATGCCCGCTAACGAAGGGCATTCTCTCCTCCTCTGGCCAGGTAGTACGCCTTTGTCACCTTCCTTGATGCGTTCTGTCCCTACCAGCCATAGGGGACTCGCCGCCACCTGTGGCCCCAGAGGCTGCACAGACTTTGAACACAAGCCAAGCTGCAAGCTAAGCAAGCCCATGGTGAGAACGGCTGGACTGGAGTCGCCTTGGCATGGTACCAAATGCCTGGATGCAAAATTGGGCTTTTTTTTTTTTTCAAGGTGAGACAGATGGAGATACACATTGGGAACCCAGGAGGGGAACTCCTTTGATTTGGCATCTGGCGCCACAAATAAATCTTACCACCACACCTCATCCTCCCTCGTGGGTCCGCCTGGCTTCCGCCAACAACGTAAACATGTGCGTGAATATTAGTAGTGGCTATGATGTAGCAGGGAAATTGAAGTTCGTCTCCTCTGCCATTCACACCACTGCACATTGACCAACGTTTGCCACATTTAATATGTTGAGGGACATTAACTTTATTGTGTCAATTTGTTGAAGTGCCAAGTAATGATTTTACAAATAATTAGACTTTAATAGGCAGAAACAAATTTATGCCCTTTTTGCTTTTATGATGCATGTAATGGTAGATGTCACACAAGCTGTAGTTTTTAGGTATACAACATCTCTTAATATCCTAAAGAAAATGAAATATTACATGTCAGTAACTGATCGGCGACTGTATAAAATACATTAGTGGCTTTTCTTCTTTCAGCTACTTGTAATCAAAGCTCATTCATCATGGCTTGGAAAGACTGAATGTTTTCAGGCCATTGTTATTGGAAAATGGCAGTTAACCTTTAAAGTCAAAAGTACAAGACAATGTTTCAGGTTAGTAAAATTGTTTTTATAACAGTAGAGATTTATATATGCTTCAGATCCTCGCCCTCCTATCTTCTAAATTATTCTTAGAGACAAATTTGGAAAATATATATATTTTTAATATCAAGTTCTTTACCTATGCATTTTTATATCATGCTCTAATGAGAAACAACTCTTCCTCGGATTTTTGTTTAGCTTTTTATAATTCTCTCCTGGACTGCTTGGTACTCTACCCATCAGCTTTTACATATTGCAAACAAATATCTACAAAAGGATTGAAATTAATGACATTCCAGCCTTGATGCATAAATTCTGAAGAGCAGCAAAGTTTGCCTCACCAAAATATGCTTTGGGGGGATATTGATTCATATAAGGTGGTTAATTTTAAGACTCAGCAAACAGAAGAGGTCTGAAAGTCAAGTAGAATTTGCCCTTTTTAAAGGGTATTTGCGTTTGTAAGGGAAATCTCCATTTGTAAAGTTATTTCCCTCACTGCCAGGCCTATATTCATAATCAATAAAGAAGGTTGGGGCTTAAATCTGCATAACAACCCTTATCCAGGTTTTTGGCTTTTCCTAGTAAAGTCTCAGAGCTGACTCGCCATGCCCAAAACCTTCTTTCCTCTTCAGCTGAAGGTGCTAGTTAAGGTGAGTTACTCAGCTTGGCTGGCTTGGTCCTAACAGTATACAGGACATAGACATGTTATTAAGCTGCAGTTTATTTTTCACCTATTAATCTATCTTATGTCAATTTGATTATTAAACCAGTCAAAAGAATCTTGAATAAAAAAAAAATTTCCTCCCTGACAGTCCCAAAGTGAAGAAAATAATTGAATAACCAACTCTCAAATATTTATACTGAGAAAGATCAGTTAATAGTTTTAAATAGAAAAACACTAATTGCTGAAATACATTTATACTTTTTAAAGCTAAACATATAAA